ATTTCTTACAGTAGGAAGTCAGTGCTTTTGCGGAAATTCAAGCGGCCAGTGTAGACGCTGACAAATTTTTCCGGAAAAGTGGCTGATTTTCTGGAAAAACTGGCCAGTCTAGACACAGTCTTTATCTTTGTAGGGGGACAGCTCTGCTGCTCTGCCTAAGCCTTGCAAGTTACCATTTCAATTTCAGATGAACTGCAATGCTAATTGGACCCCTCTCATTAAACAAATGCAATCTAGTCATAAAACAAGGGGGCAGCCCAATGCTGAGTGGCAGCCGGAGCGGCAGCAGCTGTGAATCATCTGGACTGATGAGCTATTGCATTTTCAAGCAGTATTCCCCTCTGACAAATCCCTCTCAGCTGAGGTTTTTTACCCTCCCACTCCCACCCCAGAGACACATAAAAGTGTGGTGGCTGCAATCCATCTTCATCTTCTCTGGCTGCTGTTATGTCTACATTTACCGTTATCTCCCACTCTGAACTAGCTCACTGTGTTCTAAATTCCTGACCTCACCAGCACTGCCATAAAACAGAGCTTCTCCCAAATGCTTAATACGGTAAAGAAGAGCAACTTTTCTCCTTTCTGCCTGTGTCCTCCTCTCCATTGTGATTTGTGCCTGTGACCTTGGGCCTTTGCAGGTATGAAGAAATCATTTTTTAAGGAGTACAGGATCTTTCAAAAAAGGCTTTTCTTTTCAAAAGAACCACGTCTAGACCACGGTTTCACTTTCGAAATAGTGATTTTTGAAAAAATGCCGTGATGTGATTATGCAAATGGAGCACAGGAAATTCAAATCCCAGCTTCATTTACAATTTTGATATGTCTAATTTACATCCCTCTTTCGAAAGAGGGATGTAGTTTAGATGTACCCTATGTGGTATCTGGGCATTGAATTAATGCTATGAATTTTGGCTCTAGGCAGTTCTTTAGGTGGTTTAGACTATGCGGTTTTTTGTAACAAATCCAAAGCTTCAGCACAGGCTAGCCCTCGTGAAAATAAGCATGCAATGCAACTTAGACTACACATGAATCCCTGCCACACTGAATTTGCAGTTCACAGATTCCGAGGTCAGAAAGGAGCACTGTGATCATGTAGTCTGACCTCCTGCTGAGTACAGACCAGAGGAGTTCCATGAATTCATTCCTGTTTGAACTAGACCTAAACCATCCAATCTTTATTTTAAAATTACCAGTGAAGGAGCCAGTCCTTGGAAACTATCCCAGTGGTTAAATTTGTGCCTTTTTTTTTAGTCTGGTAATCCATTTTCTCCCTCAAAATGTCTTTTGTGCATCCCCATGCAGTCATGTTTTTGCACATGCAAATGTTTTGCAGGTGTGACAGGTTCTGCTGTTTGCAAATGTGGCCCTGTGGGTACATTTTCAGAGCTGCAAGATGCCTGAGACTTGTCACACCCACTGATTTCAACAGAAGAGGTACAGCTGCATCCTCATACAGTTAATGCATTGAGCAATCAGGGTGAGGTGTCTGGGTCAAACCCACAGAAGATAGGTATTATTTTTCTGAAGTACTTTTTTGCTTTTCTGAGTCCAATTTAAAAAACCGCTATAATACAATGTGTATAAATGCACAAAATCTCATTCAAAGGCACGTGACACTTCTTGGAGTGAGCATCGGGACTCAGTAACAGCTTTACAATGGCTGGTAATGGTTATCTTGTAAATCCCCCTTAAGGACTTTGTATAGTGTCATGTACTCACTAGGCTGTTTGGGAGCAAACATTTTATCAAGTGGATCTGTAGAGGCTTCATACAGTACAGATTACTGCCTGCAGTCTGATGACTGTGATGGCTCTTTCACGGTTATTATCTGTTGTATTAACGAGACTCACTAAAGGGCTTATGTTCAGCAAAATAACTTATAAATGCTCTCTTCTTAGTCCTGATCATTGACTTCCAAATCTGTCTCCATCATGTGACGTGCCATCCCAGGAGGGATATCAGCATATATGGGAATATTATACAGGATTATATTATTATGTCCTACAAAACTCAGGTGGAAGGGGAGAAGTGGAGCATATAAATTAATGAAAAATCTGGGGGTGCAAACCAGGTACTGGGGGAGCATCAGCCTCCTTTCTCTATTGCAAATTATGTCCCTGCACCATCCTAGTGTATGATCATGCCCCCAGTAAGCCTGTTGCTCACTTACTGCTAGAAGAGTTCTCCTTAACCTCAGGCTGCTCAGGTCTTGTGGCTGAGGCTTGAGTCAGAAGAAAGCATGGGGAAGTATGGCAAGGTGCCAGCTTATTGTTTCCTTGTAAAATTGCACACACAGAAGCAGGCAGGGCATTGTCCCCACCTCGATGAATGGGATTTGTCTGTTGTTCGATGGGACCAATAGTACAGGCAGCATCGGTCAGTTTTGTCCTCTCCCTGCAGTTAAAGAGAGCGAGCTGCTGCAGGGTATATCCTGGCTTTGGCCTGCATGTTGGTCACCTCTCCTCATCCTCAAATAGGCAGCTGAATGACATTGCTGTTCCTCCCCCAGACAGGCTCCGCAGAGCCAGCAGCGCTGCTGTGTTGTTGTCAGTAATATGAGCGCATGTGAGACGTGACCGGCACAAGAGGCATGTACAGTACACACCAAGGGGCGAGTTTTGTAGAAGACAGGGATGGGGCAAGGGGAGGAGAAATTGGAGTGATGCTGAAGCCAAGATGCCACAGAGATCTTAGGTTTCTGTTTCTGTTTACAAATGGACACGATATGCATAACTCAGATATCCATCTGTGATGCTCAGTGTATCTTTATGGGCCCAGCACCCTCTGTTAGCCTCCTGCTGCTCTGTTAATGAAATGTGAGGTACGTTTTAAAACATATCCAAGTGTGGAGTACAGGAGATAAGCTGAGCAGAGCTACTTAGCTTTGTTTGGGTGTTTTTTTTAACCATCACGGTGTGAACTGAAATGAGATGAAATAGGAATTTATTCCCCTTCCACTGGCTCCCTAGCAGGGACCGCAGGTCACTAAGGGCACATCTACACAGCAGGGCTAAAGCCGAAATAAGCTACACCACTTGAGCTACATCAATTGCATAGCTGAAGTCGAAATAGATTATTTTGGCTTTTGGCAAAGTCTACACAGCAGGAAGACCGAGAGAGCACCCTTCCTTCGACTTCTCTTACTCCTCGTACAATGAGGGTTACAGGAGTTGGAGTAAGGAGTCCTCCATCTCTACATTATTTTGACATTATGTTGAAATAACTGCTTGTAGTCCAGATTATTTTGGAATAACTGACATTATTCCAAAATAGCGCTACTGCGTAGATGTACCCTAAAAGATGAAAAGACAAGGATAGAAATAAGGTGCTTTAGCCCCTTGCCTGGTGGATCTAGAATAGGGATGGTCAATGATTTTTGATGGAGTCAACACAGATAAAAAGAATAAAAGGAAATACCTAAGAAATCAGTGTAATTGACCAGTGGAACTCACTGCTGCAGGATACTAGTGAGGGAATAACATGGTGATATTTTTTAACGTGCATGAGAATAGACTCCACAGTCACAAGGGCTATCGTCCCAGCCTCTAAACTTCAGCTGAGGTTAGGAAACATTTCTCCCCTCTACAGTAACAGCATTACTCACTGAGGTAATGTTCAGATGGGGCTGGTTTTAGAGGCTTCCTGTAGAGCTTCCAAGACAGGTTGCTGTTGGGCAGGATGGATGGGTGAGGCAACATTTCCAAAACCACCCAAGTGGCTTAGAACGCTATGTTCCAAGTTCAAAAGTGACTTAGGAACCTAAGTCCATCAGATTTGAATTGTTCATGAATTGAAGATATTTAAAGGTATTTAGGTGCCTAAAGGTGCAGATAGCTACCTAGCAGGGTGCTCAACCTGCTTAGGCATTTCTGGAAATCCTACTGAAAAGCCTGTATGCTTCTTCAGATGCCTAAATCCCTTTGTGAATCTGGGTATGTCACTTTTGAAAATGGCATTTAGGCTCTTAAATCATGTAAATGCTGCCCTTGGGCTTTTTTTGTTTGCCAAAATAAGCAGAGCAGGAGCAAGAGAAATCAGTCCTTAACATTGCCACAAACCGTTTTCTCCTTCAGACTCCAGCTGGCTGCCCAGAGTGCACCTGATTCTGCAAGATAGCAACTCCTCCAGGGCAATCCATCAGGCAATACTGCATCAAGCCAAGCATGGGGAGCAGTCTCTTGGTGTTTGCCAAGGGCCACATGGTGGAATGCTGTGTCCAGGTTGACCCAGCTGGACCTGTCTCTGCTCTGAGTGAGGTTTTGCCAAGTCAATATCCAAACAGCTACAGGGAAGAGGAGGATGGATTTCTGTACAGAAACTAGTGCACCCGAATAAAGCAGGACCTGAGTTCCTGCCCTCTCCATCCCTTCCCTCCATCAGTCTGCTTGATTATTCTAGAAAGCAGCATCTCCTGATGCACATAAGCAAAGATGGCCCATTATGTCAAGCTGTGCCCTGGCTATGCAACAGGAATACACGACTTCTAGGCTGAAACCACCAAACTCGTGTTTGTGACCAAATTAACATTTGAATCCAGGTTTATAAGGCTTCCTGTGGAGCTTCCAACCCCATAGCCTGTCAGTGCTCACTACATAAACAGCAGCAGGAGTACAGGTAAGAGTCTCTTCCAGCCCTATGCTTCTATGACCTGATACCTGACAGCTGAGGTGCATTCCTCATGTGACCCAGGGCTGAAATAGCCAGGGAGCCAGGACTGGGGTACACTGTCAAGGCTGTTGGCAGAGAGCCTAGGTCTGGAAGAGCAGGATGTGGGGAGTGCAGCCATGACTGAGGTTTGTTGGCACAGCCAGGGGTCGCTGTGGGCCAGGATTTAGATGCAGGGGCAGGCATGGGTAGGGAAGGCAACTTTCATGTGATCATCTCCCCCACTTCCCCCCCCAGGCAAGTGCTAACAATCCAGCACTTTCCCGGTCCCAGGACTGTGCCTCTGACCACCAAGCCCTGCTCTAGCCTCTCTCCTGCTCTTTGTGTGCCTGCAGTGATGGGCGCGCTGGAGTCCAGAGGGGTGCTACGGAAGATGAGCGACATGCTGGAGATGATGGTGAAGAGGATGGACGTGCTAGCCAGGCTGGAGAACAGCACTGACTTCCGGAAAGGGGAGGAGGCCCGTTTTCTTCTGGACAGGTCAGTGGCAGCGGGACTGGAGCCAGCTGGGATCAGGTAGACCCTTTCTCCACAGCCACCCGGCTCCATTTACAAGAGAGGAGCTCATTGATTGCACACTGAAAGGGCTGAGCCCTGCAGGATGCTGAGTGCCACCCTCCCCCCATCCCATGCTGTCTATGAGAGTTGGGCATGCTTCGTTTTCTGGGGCGGCTGCTGCTAGTAGCAGTGCTGCTGTTCTCATGTGGAGGCTCAGCACATTCCCTGCCCCAGTCTCTCGAACTGGGAGCATTTCTCTGGTGCAGAGCTATTGCTGCCACGATGTAGCCACGTGAACCAGACATACTCACTACCTGGTGCTGGAGGGATGTAGCCTCCTGATTCAGTGGGTGCACTGAACGGCCAAGGGACATGGGTCATTGAAGAACCCCTCTCGCCCCCAGCTTTGCAACCCTGGTGTATGGGCCTGCAGCACCACTCAACTTGGCCCATGCCTCTGTCATGGCAGAGCAGCAGCCAAGCCAAGTCTGAGTGGGGCTGTGACCTCATGTGCCAGGTAGCAATGACTGGAGGAGGGAGCCAGGCCCTGCCCATGAGACAGAGCTGCCACAGTCGGGTGAGTGCAGGATGGGCTTGATTTCCAACCTGCTTCTCCCAGGACCACCCTGCTGCATCGGGGATACATCTACCTGCAGGATTTTTACGCAAAACCCCCCAGAGCATCCACACTTCAAGTGCATTTTTGCGCAAGAAAATTGATAGTAAATCGAAAGAACAGAGGGGCTTTTGCAGTATAGGTACTTCTCTTTCTACAAAGAGGATTTTGTGCCAGAGTTCTTGCACAAAAAGGTGTGTGTGGATGGGCAACACGGGGTTTTTGCAAAAAAAGAACCAATCGAAAAAAGCACAGGTGCTCTGGTGGCTATTCTGTGAATAGCAATCAGAGCTTTCTTTCAAGAGAGCGTCCAGGGAGTCTGGATGCTCTCTTGTGCAAAAGCGCATTGCTTTTGCGATGCACTTTTGTAGTGTGGATGCGCTCTTGTGCAAGAAGTTTTTGTGAAAGATCTCTTCTGCAAAAAGCTTCTTGCACAAGAAGCCTGCAGTGTAGATATAGCCTGGTCCAGGAGAAGTGTATGAAACAAAATACAGGACTATGTAGCACTTTAAAGACTAACAAGATGGTTTATTAGATGATGAGCTTTCGTGGGCCAGACCCAGTTCCTCAGATCAAATAGTGGAAGAAAATAGTCACAACCATATATACCAAAGGAGAAGTGTATGTTTGTCAGTTTTTGCACCCTTGGTTCCATGCTTTCTGTGACTCCACGCTGAAGCTTCCTTTGCATGGTGTGGAACTCCGTGGTCTGGGGTTCTGTGAAGGTGTTAGAACTCTCTTGGTTTTTGATTCCATTAAACTATTGTGAATGTTGTGAATACATTTCTCTCCTCCCTCCTTTATTTAAATTAGAGCTAAACCTAAAACAGACTCCCTGTATATGAAACTTATATGGCCATCATCATCCTAACGTCAAAGTGCATTTATCCTCACCACATCTCTGTTAAGTAGGGCAATAGAAAGGATGAATTAGAGTTATAGGGCTGGTTTAGAAGAGGGGAGACCTGTGCCCTAATACAGTAAATCAAAAGAACAGAGGGGCTTTTGTGGTGTAAGTAATCTTCAGCAAATCGCTTAGCAGCCCTGTGACTCAGTTCCCCACCTGTACCAAGGGGATAATAGTACAGTTGCATCTCACAGGTGTGCTGTGAGAAGTCCATTAAAGATGGTGATGAAGGTCATATAAATTAGGAGCTGTTATAACTGAGATGCAAAGAGGCTGAGGGTATGTCTACACTACCACCCTAGTTCTAACTAGGGTGGTTAATGTAGTCAATCGAAGTTGCAAATGAAGCCCGGGATTTAAATATCCCGGGCTTCGTTTGCATCTTGCCGGGCGCTGCCATTTTTAAATCCCCGGTAGTTCGGACTCCGTGCCCTCAGCTACACGTGGCACGGAGTAGGTAGTTCAAATTAAGAACGAGGAGTAACGGTAGTTCGAATTAGCCTAATTCGAACTACCTACTCCGTGCCGCGTGTAGCCGTGGGCACGGAGTCCGAACTACTGGGGATTTAAAAATGGCGGCGCCCGGCAAGATGTCTGGAACAATAGCCCTCTATAGGCCAAGGACATGCCTGGAGTGATGACTCATACCTAGGGGCTACCAGCAGGGAACACAGGGATAGGCCATGGGCCAGGTGACCTGCTGTAGCCAAGAAGAGACCAGGAAGGAGGGATAAATAGGCCATGTGGCTGACTCCATCTTGGTACTCAGCTCAGCACTTCATCCCAGAGGCAGCAGTGCAGGGATCGAAGGGCCGGAAAGAACTGTGGTCCCATCCTGACCTAGGATGCATAACAAGGGCTTTTAAGCCAGCAGCTATAACATCTCTGCTAGAGCCTGCATCAAGAACTGGGAGAGTCGATGCATGTAATGTATGATACTTTAGCAACCTTACTCTCATGCTTTTCTTTCTTGTAGCAATAAACCTTTAGATGTAGGATGCTAAAGGAGTGGCTCAGCGTGATTTGTGAGTAAGATCCAGAGGGTAAATTGACCGGGGATCTATGGCTGGTTTCTTGGAACCGGACAGAACTTGTTCGGGGTAGGTGAGATTGGGTTCTAAGACCCCTCACCTGTGTATGAGGCCCAAGGCCATCTGGGGCACGGATATTGCTGGGGTGTTGGGGGGGTTTTGCTCGTGAGGCTTCAGGCAGGCTGCTGAAGCGCTCTGTGGGACTTCTTTGGGGCCTGTTTGGAAAGGTCACCAGTCTGGAGGCTGTAAGGAGCCCCGAATTTGAGTAATTCACCCTGAGCAGACGCCCTCAGCTGTGCCCAGAGCGGCCCGGTCCATCACACCCCCACCAGCACCCTACCTCAGCTAAATCCCCACCAGAACCCTGACCCTCTCCCCTGGCCAGACACCCACCAGCACCCTGTCCCCTGGCCAGACTCTCACCAGCACCCCGCTCTTGCACCCTCTCCTCTAGCCAGAACCCCACCAGCACTCTGCTCCCTCCCCCTGGCCAGACCCTCACATAACAATCCTGCGCCATCCACATACCGTAAACCTGTGTCCTAAGCCCATCATACTCCCAGCCCCCCTGCCCTGAACCCCTCATACACTACATCCTAAACTCCTGCATCCCCACAAGCCTATGGCTTTCTTTTCCCAC